ATTTGTCTTGTTTTAATGAATAATTCACTTCAGTTTGACTCATTATTTCTGAAAGCAAGTCGATGTGTGTTGCTGGTCTAGAAAATGCTGCTTGATTTAAGAACTTTGAGATATTTAGACCAAAAACAAGACAAAGACTTGCGCTCAGTGCTGGATTCTTCAGTCGGGAGTCCTGACACACTCCAGAGAGAAAACTAAACGTTTACACACACACAAACACACACAGCAGAGACGCAGACACGATGAGCACCAGCGATGATGAGGTCAGCCACAATGGAGGAGAGAGATGAGTGTTTTCCAGACATGAACAAGCGGAGTGCAGGATCAGAGAGAGAGATTAAAACAGAGAAAGCGAGAGAGTACCGTGGGTATCAGGTCTCCTGAAGGGCCGCACTTCCCTAAGGTAGAATTGGAATGTTTTACGAAGGGCGTGGAGGTCTGAGGGAAGGAAGTAAAGCTAGAGTCACTAACACACACACACACTTTATCAGTCCTGTGTGGAGGAGCACAACAGCGGAGTCTCACACCGGCTGGAGCAAACACTGAAAGAGCTCCAGTTACAGAACAGCACTGGAAGCAAAGCTCCTCAACAACATCATGTAGATACACTCCCCGGCCACTTTATTAGGTACACCTCACTAGTACCGGGTCGGACCCTTTTTGCCTTCAGAACTGCTTTAACTCTTGGTGGTGTAGATTCAGCAGGGTACTGGAAATCTTCCTCAGAGATTTTGCTCCATATTGTCATGATAGCATCACACAGTTGCTGCAGATTTGTCGGCTGCACATCCATGATGCCAATCTCCCGTTCCACCACATCCCAAAGCTGCTCTATTGGATTGAGCTCTGGTGACTGTGGAGGCCATTTGAGTACAGTGAACTCATCGTCATGTTCAAGAAACCAGTCTGAGATGATTGAGCTTTATGACATGCTGCGTTATCCTGCTGGAAGTAGCCATCAGAAGATGGAGACACTGTGCTCATAAAGGGATGGACATGGTCAGCAGCAATACTCAGGTAGGCTGTGGCGTTGATGCTCAATTGGTACTAATGGACCCAAAGAAAATCTCCCCCACACCATTACACCACCACCACCAGCCTGAACCGCTGATACAAGGCAGGATGATCCATGCTTTCATGTTGTCTGAGCCGAGCATCCGAATGTGTGAGCAGAAATGGAGACTCATCAGAGCAGCAACGTTTCTCCAATCTTCTATTGTCCAGTTTTGGTGAGTCTGTGTGAATTGTAGCCTCAGTTTCCTGTTCTTAGCTGACAGGAGCGGCACCCGGTGTGCTCTTCTGCTGCTGTAGCCCATCCGCCTCAAGGTTGGCCGTGTTGTGTGTTCAGAGATGCTCTTCTGCAGAGCTCGGTTGTAACGAGTGCTTATTTGAGTTACTGTTGCCTTTCTATCAGCTGGAACCAGCCTGGCCATTCTCCTCTGACCTCTGGCCTCTTCAACAAGGCATTTGCGCCCACAGAACTGCCGCTCACTGGATATTTCCTCTGTGTCGGAGCATTCTCTGTAAACCCTAGAGATGGTTGTGCGTGAAAATCCCAGTAGATCAGCAGTTTCTGAAATACTCAGAGCAGCCCGTCTGGCAGCAACAACCATGCCACGTTCAACGTCTCTTAAATCCCCTTTCTTCCCCATTCTGATGCTCACTGTGAACTGCAGCAGATCCTCTTGATCATGTCTACATGCCTAAATGCAGTGAGCTGCTGCCATGTGATTGGCTGATTAGACATTTGTGTTAGCGAGCAGCTGGACAGGTGTACCTAATAAAGTGGCCAGTGAATGTGTATACGTAGTATTAGAGTTCATAACATCCGTTATATTAACCGTTATCAGCACCACCGGAGAAAATAAACTGTATTGATGCTGACTGACCCAGCAGAACAGGTCCAGAAGAACCTGAGAAGTGGACAAACAGTGGACAAATATCAGGAGTGGTCAGTGCAGAACAAAACCCAGCAGACCGGTCAGACCACTGATCTCCAGTCTGAGAGCTTCACACACACTGAACTGAAGAGGAAAGCAGCAGATTCTGGAAGATCTCCAAGCAGCGGTGGAACTCTGATCTGTGGATGATGATGATGATGGAGATGCTCACCTTCCTCTCAGGTGCGTCTGGAGACTCAGAGGTGTAGCTGATGTTCACCTCCTCCACATCAGAGCTGCTGGAGCCGGCAGACGTCACACTCACTGAGTCTCCGCCGTCACACACCGAGCCGCCGCTCACACACACCGGGAAACGCAGCTGATCGAAAGACTTGGAGTGAGAACTGCCGGAGGAAGAGCTGCAGCCCGCCTCGCCCACACACACCGGCTGACGACTGCAGAGAGAGAGACAGAGAGACACACACACACACACACACACAGATAGACAGAGAGACACACACACACACACACGCAGAGAGAAAGAGACACACACACACACAGACAGAGAGACACACACTTCACACAACTGTTCGAAGGCTGTTCCGGACTGTCTGCATGAACTTGACACATATAAAACATCATCGTGTGTGTGTGTGTGTGTGTGTGTGTTTCACTCACTCGCTCCACCGCTTCATGATTCCTGAGCTCTTCTTGGCCCGCAGTGTGTTAGAGGCCGATTCAGAGAGCGGCTCAATCTCACACGACTGACTGTAACTGCAGACACACAACACAACACAGACCAGAGTGAGTGAGTGTTTGTGTGTGTGTTGGAGTATATTTGTTATTGTGTGTGTGCATCTCTGCTACTGAACACACGCGCTCACACACACACACACACCTCTCTGCCTCAGACAGTTTCTCCACACTGCAGAGCCAGGCGCTGAATCCAGACACACGCTGGAAGTTGTAGTTATTACAGGCCAACTGCAGCAGCTTAATCTGAGCGATGACCTCGAACTCCTGCACACACACACACACACACACACACACACACACACACACACACACACACACACACACACACACAGCATTAGCAGTGCATATATATACTCTATAGATCTTCATTTATTTATATATATATGTGGAGATATCAGACGAGCTCGGCTCAGCCGCACCTTCCTCCTCTTCTCGAAGTTGATCAGGCCTCCCTGAGAACACAACACAGCCAATCAGCAGCAGCAGAGAGCATCTCATTAGCATATCCACACATCAACCAATCAAGAGCTCCCATGAGCACGTCTGAACACTGTTCCACAATCCTCAACATAAGAAACCCTTGCTGTGACTCAGTAACTCCTTATCTTCTGCTTACGAGCAGTTATTCAGCAGGATCAGGGCTGCAGGAGTGTTAATAAACAGCCCATATCATAACAACAGGCAAGAGATGATCCTCTAGATCAAACATGAAGATCTGGAGCAGCAGTAATCAGCAGGAGAGGGGTTTGAGGGATTCAGTGGCTCTGTTTATATTCTGCTCTTCACTACAGCGAATGATGGAAGAGTAAGTGTCTTTCACTGATGTGTGTGTGTGTGTGTGTGTGTGTGTGTCTGTCTGTGTGTGTGTGTGTGTGTGTGTGTGTGTGTGTGTGTGT